TGTCTCATGTTAAAGTGACATCTGTGACCAATTTATGACATATGTTACTATTTAAACTGTGTTGAGTTAGTAGCAGTAACTTTCCAATGTTACAACACAGAAAATGATTATGAAGATAATAAAATAAAGTAATATCCAAATTGTCCATGAAACTATAACAATGTTAAACGTAGTACAAAGAAAACGTTATACAAACTATGTGATGTGGCTGATCCTACCGCTCTAACAAACACATGGAGCTGGCTACAGGAAATAATAAATAACGTTAAGGTTTCTGTAAATGCCTAAAGGGAACACTATAGAATATTGAAAGTTCTATAATAATACTTGGAAATGACAATTGCAACATACGTTAATATAACAAAGAAAGTATTCATAAAACTAACGTTACGTTAACAGTAGATAAAACCAATACTAGTCTATTATACACTACAGCAGCTCACTGTCACCCTAAACAATATCCTGAGGAATTAAAATGTAAACATGAAAGTTTTAAAAGGTCGTTATACTCTAAGAAACTTCTAAACACATTATCTGTAGCAAGAATATTGTTGAATTTCTCACGAAATGGAAAGAATTTTGTGTATTAAAATGCGCAATATTCTAGAAACTTCTGTTATGAAAAATGCGAGTTCATGAGGTTCACAAAATCGGGGGTTTTCCTAGTGTGCAGTTATCGCACACACACATACGAGTTGCAATAAGTCGTCTTGTATTAAAAATGATAAAGTTGAAATACAATTGTGCAGTTTAAAAAATTCTGCACAAAATATTGTAATTGTGAACAAATTATATCTGATAATCAAATAGAGGTAACCGTTGTAACTTAACTCGTTTGGAATATTCATACTTGGAAATGAAAAGTTTATAACTTCAAAGTTGAAACTGTCCGTTTTATTAAAAACTGTAAAGTTGAATGTACGATTAATGATACCGATTTCTAAATCCATGGATAGTGCTTTGTTTTTCGTGGAAAGGCGGTTTCTAGAATTAGTACTGGTGAATAATTTGTTCGACTGTTACTAAAAAAAACAACCTTTAATTCGATATAAAAAATATCGTCTACATGTATTTCCAAGCGTGACTGATGTTAAAAGCTGTATAGTCTTTGTTAGTAAGGTTTGTAATGTATGAAAGTTCTAGTCCGAATAAAAACAAATCTTTAAATTGTGAGTTGTGGTTAACTTCCAGTGGATTCCATGTATCTGTTTTAAAACATGTTGGCCGTATTGAACAAATATCAAATAAAACTATACGGCCTGCAAGAATTCATTTATTGTGAAACAATGGTGATTTTTGTGAATAATATTATCACATATAACCTAATGGTAGCTTTGTGCTTCACACAAAATAACTGAATCCAAACAGTCTTCAGTTTTCTCCTTATATTCAGTTGAATTACCGGTAACAATGAAGATATTTAAATACCGGTTCTCGATTGGGTAAAATTACGGTATTTGTTTAAATGTTATTTAATGTATATCTGTATTTGTACAGTTGTTAATGTAATTTTGGAATCCAAAATAATTTAATTGTATGAACACTGAACAACGAAGTATGGTAAAACTGGAATGTGTTTATTTATATATATATCAGTTATTTATTTGGTAACGTCAATTTTATGAATTCTGAATTACGTTAACCTTATTCTGCAACATGAATAAATTAAAGTTTCTGACGAAAGATTCTTAGATTTTTGTTCAAACCTGTCTGTCGCAGGAACGAACTTCGTCATCCACCATGCTGGGCCTTTTAGCCATAGGGGCGTTATGATATGAGGGTCAATCTCATTATTCGTTGGTAAGAGTAGCCCAAGAGTTGGCGATGGGTGGTATTGACTAGCTGCTTTAGTCTACCACTTCAAAATTAAGGACGATTAGCGCAGATAGACCTCAAGTAACATTTTGCGAAATTAAACAACAAACACACACATGTGACCGCATAACCATTTACATCTTTGGTTTTTGATCCATGAGGAACAACGTGAGTCGTGACTTCAGATAATTATTTTTATTATTCTGGTTAGCATATCTTACTACTAAGGTATTTTGTGTTCATATAGATTGGCTTTTACGTTGGCAAACTTTATGTAATTAAAACATAATAATTATAACACCATTTGATATAAACCGAGAAGGTTACGAAATAATGTGCATTTTGATTTTCTGTTGTTTTGATCTCATAATATGTTCTAAAACTAATGAAGAAACTTAAGTTATTGAACTGGAAAAGTATTTGGAGATCTCAAAACGCACGTGATTTGCAAGTCATGCTGAGCTAATCAATGCTCCATACGAGTACAGTGAAAGTTGCTTGACAACTCTTGGTATAATCGAACGACTTTTTGTCTACCGCGCTTATGGTTAAGACTGATCTTTTTTGTTATCACTGAATCCGCGTGCAAGTATTACGGTACAAAACTGCCGTTACTAGGCGACGAGAAGCTTTGCGTGATACGAGCCCGTGATGGTATATTAGCATTTAATAATCAAAACAAATACCAAGGT